CACCAGATAGGAGCAAAAATGGCAGCCAGCTACCAAAGTTTCGGAAAATACAAGAAGAAGTGGTTTCTTCAAGGTGGCCTCTTGAAATTCGAAACTTGGAAAATCATTCACCGATGAAGAAATTATCAAAGAATGCGTAATTGCAGTAGCCGAAGAAATGTGCACAGAATAGGTAAATTTATTTAAAACTGTCCAGTTTGTCAGCAAGCATCGTGGCTCAGAGTGTACAAGACATTGCAGAAAATATATTATCTCAACTGTCTGACAAAAATGAACATGGCCTTTCTCTGGTCTTGATGAGTCAACGGATGTCAGATACGACTCAGTGTTGATTTTTTATTCAAGGAGTAAATAAAAGCTATGAAGTGTATGAAGAACTTTTTTGATATTGATAGTATTCACAGCATGACTACTGGGGAAGATATTTTTAAGGGAAGTGGGCCTGAATGGCCGAGGTGGCCCCAGCGCTCTGGCGCTCGGTACCACAGGTTTTCGGGTTCGAGTCCCGGCTGTGCCATGGATGTTTGTAGTGGTTCGGAATCCACTTTAAACCGTAGTGGTCTCGGTCCTAATAGGATCGTAGAGGCGTTGCGGGAGGCATTGTTACACCGCGTCCGTGGCTTATCTTCAAGTTACACGCGCCCCTGGGTAATGCAAAATGAGTAACGTTTGTGCAGCGCTTGCCTTAAGGCATCCAAGACCTATCTAAGTGTTTGCCAACTGCATTTAGAACACAAAAACATTAAGAAAGTTGATGCCATTGACTAAAAAGAACCTACGATGGAAAAACTTGAAATCTATTACAACTGATGGAGGCCAAAAACACGTGCGGTAAAATAAAGGAGTGGTTGTACTTGTGTCAAAGGCAGTAGAAAATGATGGTGGTTCAAACCATTAGTCTTGCATTGTATCATTCATCAACAGCCCTTTGTGCGGAAAAATGTTTGGATATGTCTGAAGTTCTAAAACCAGTCATATCAGTTGTTAAATTCATCAGATCCATTGGGGCTGAATCACCGAGCAATTCCACGAGTTTGATGAATATAAGGAGAAAATGATTTACCATATCATACTGCCCCACGCTGGCTTAGTTGTGGAAAAAGTCCTGCAGTGCTTTTTCGAACTTCGAGCACAAATCGAAACTTTTTCACTGAAAAAAGCACCTCTTACTGAATTACAAAATAGCGAATGGCTGTGGAAGTTAGCATTCTATGTCGATTTGACAAATATGAACGAACTAAATTTGAGATTGCAAGGAGAAAACCAGCTTCTCTTCTGATCTATACATTAATATCAAATCGTTCCGGCAGAAAATAATATTGTTTCAATCACAATTACGTAAAAAATGTTTCACACATTTTTAAAACATGTGAAATATTCAGCCGCACTACTGAGACTGAGTCTCCCGTCGATTTTGCAGTCTAAGTTTTGAGTGCTTAAGAAGATAAATTTTGATACTCGTTTCTCAGACTTTAATGTCATTGCAAATGAAATTAAGATTTTCAAAATCCTTTTGATACTGACATTGAAACCCTAACCCCGGAACTTCAAATGGAAATTATTGATTTACAGTGCAGTGATATAATTAGCTTACGGCCATACCATGCTGAATGTACCGGTTCTCGTTAGATCCACCGAAGTCAAGCATCATTGGACGCTGTCAGTACTTGGGTGGGTGACCACCTGGGAACACCGCGTGCCGTTGGCATTCACAAATTTGGGACCTGAATGGCCGAGTGTCTAGCGCTCTGGCGCCACAGGTTTCGGGTTCAAATCCCGGTGGTGCCATGGATGTTTGTAGTGGTTCAGAGCCCCTCTTTAAGCCGTAGGGTCCCGGTCTCCTATGACTGTAAGAGTGTCACGGAGCCAAAGTCAGACTTCTACCTACGGGGGTGCTCCATCACAACAGAAGCTGCTTCCTTCCCCTTCAATCATGAGTACGTATGGGTTCGTGGGCTTGGCCAAAAAGTGGGATAAGAAACGACGAAACGAACGTGATATAATTAAGAACAAATATCAAAACTTTTATAAGAGTCTTCCACTGATACAATTTGATAATTGACACAAATTTGCTCGTGGGCTGTTTGTTTTTACTACGTACTCGTGTGAGAAAACACACAAAGAAGACACACACAAGGAATGTTTATAGATCTAAGTTAATTGATGAGTATCTTAAATATCTTTTAATAATTGGTGTTATAAGTAAAATTGATACAACTACAAACTATTGTCAGTGAAAAATCACAATTACATAAATCTCATTAGTATTTTTTACTAGTGGATACCTCGCGGTTTCATTCGCGTTCATTTAGCTTTTTCCGTTCCTGAGGGTTTTCAAGATAAAAATCATATGTTTGATTCAGATATATACATTCTAAACATCGATATACATACATATGCGATACTGTTTACTCCAACATAACTACCGAGAGTAACAGCGGGATGTTCACTAGTTTATAATGTTAGTGGGGTTCATTTCAATTACTTGTTAGTTGTTATGCTTAAGTTAAATTTTCTGCGTGTTATGCTTATCATTAAGCTTTACCTAGCAAATAAAGAAAACTGAATTATTATTATTCTGTGGTTTTTGTATCCAACTTATTATAGTAACAACAAGCTATTTTGCTGTCGCGGGCGAATTTGGCCCGCGGGCCGTAGTTTGCAGACCCCTGCCTTAGGTGACATCAGTGACCATCCCTAAATACGCACTGTTGAGTGTTGATAGCACAACAAACCAGACTCTTAGTGGAAGTTGTTAGCGCTTTTCGTTCAACTACATCAGCGAATCGTTTTTTTTTTTTTTTTTTCTAAAATGAAATTGACCAAACACAAAACACATTCAAACATAACGGACACAAAACCAATTGGGATGTGGAAATACCCAAATTGAGATCTATTTGCAAAATCTAAGTGAAAGAGTGGAGAAACAAATATCGCACTAGTAAAATAAATATTTTTTTAATGATTTCATTTTTTATTTCTTTTATATTTATATATTTTTTATATTTTATTTTTAGTGTTATATATTTCTTTGGGCGTTTAGTATCATTATTATAATATGATCTATGTTTACATATAAGAATAGTAGTAATCCCAAAAACTTTTTCCGTTCAATGCAGTTGGCAAACACTTAGACAATTGTCTTCGATGCCTTAAGGCAAGCGCTGCATCGACGTTGCTCACTTAGCATTAACCAGGAGGCGCGTGTAGCTTGAAGATAAGCTACGGACGGAATAACAATACCTCCGCAACGCTCTACGATCATCTTAGACCGGTACCTACGGTTTAAAGTGAATTCCAAACCACTACAAACATCCATGGCACCGCCGGGACTCGAACCTGAAACCTAATAGTAACTCATTATGTTTCAATTTTTCATTCAAAAATGTCTATAGTGGGTCGAAATTTGATATGGGGATATATTTTTGTGCGGCCCTTGGAGTTATGATGCATTTGTAAACTGGCCCGCAAGATCATTTGGATTGGTCACCCCTGCCTTAAAGTGAGACATAGAACCTATTATATTAGATGTTCCAAGATGCGCGTGCATTATGAGTTCGTAGACTATAATTTAGTATTCTACGAACTCGTTGTGAGTTCGTAGAATAATTCAAACTCATTTATGATTTTACAGTTCAAATTGTATAGATTGTATTTTTTTAATAGATTGGTTTTCACTACTTTGGTCATTATGAAATAAATATTTGTAAAAGTGTGTTAAGTCTCACGGGCCGAAAAATATTCAAGGCGGGTCGCGGTTTGGTCAACCCCTGATTTATATTATCTGTATACGCATGTAAAAGTATTGAAATATATATATATATATATACATTGCTTAGAAAATGTTAGATCAAATTTTTTAAAATGTTTAACTTTTTTTCTTTTAATGAGAAACAGGGCTTCACTATCCCATATATTCTTTAACTTATTCATAATGTTATTGCATTTATCTTCATGGAAATGTTATAATCATTAACTAGGAAGTTCATTAATTTATTCATAGTGATACGAAAAATACACACATGAAACCACAAATCATACCATAGTCAGCACCAAATTTATCTCAATGGAAGAGGGTTCAGTTTAGAGCTCTACGGTCATTTTCTACACCCTTTAAGCTAATTGGACAGGGACCTACAAGTTTAACTTGCATTCCGAGCCACTAACAATCATCCATGTCACCGACAGGATTCGAACCTGGAGCACCAACGATCTAACCGCTAGCCAATTGGCCATCAGGCCCTCTTCTCAATGTCTTCTTAAGGCCTTATCAGATGGGCTGCAACGTGAAGCAAATCGCCGTTACCACTCAAAATGGCGAGTGTATTGCTGCGAGCATATCCAACATTTATTCTCCCTAGCTTAATTGATGAAACATTTTATCATTCATTTAATCATTGAGGATGGCGCAGTTTGTAGTTGCATGACATGTCTACCGTACAAACAAGTTCGCCGTAGATTATGCAAATCACAAGTTGTTGAGTGGCAAGGCTATTTTGCTTTACGTTGAAGGAAAGGAAATGAGCCCTGCGATGTGGGCTGTCATCTTAAATGCAAATGGGGGCAGTTTCCCTAAAAAAAAGTCCTTTCTGAAGGTGCTGCCCTCCTTCTGCAGAGTCACGGAGACAAGTCAAATTTCTACCTAAGGCTTCCCCATCACAACAGTATATGCCCCTCTTTTCATGAGACCACGCGGGTTCTTGAACTTGATTTAGATGTTATTATCTACCAAGTGGGATAAGAAAAAAAAAAAAAAAACAAGTAATATAAAAAAAAAAATTTTTTTAAATCAATTCGTACTTTTTCTCACTATATTGCAGAAAGTCCTTTATAAATAATTTTCATTCATATTTTAAGTTTATCTGGCGCCATCTAATGGTAGATACATGCAACTTAAATCTAAAAAAAAAACCTAAAATTAATTAATTAAATTTAATTACTGAATTAATATTTGAAAAAAAAACTGTATTAACATCAAGTGTCATTCACTACAAGATAAAAAAAATGTATTTCAACTGGAGTGGATGAATAAAAAATATTTTATTAATGATTGAAAATTTGAACAAGATATATATAGGGAGAGTGTGAGCTAATAGAAGGAATTGGAAAAAAAAAAAAAAAAAAAAAAACAAGGACATATTCCATTTTTTTAATTTCACGCGATAGATTAAACAGATTGATCCGACGAGGTTATCAATTCACAATAATTAAAATACGTGGTTATTCGAGGAAACAGACTGGTTATTATTAAATAATATGTTAAAATGAGCAAAACGTTTTGGAATACCTGCCACTAGGGATTGCAATACCGGTATACCGGTATTTTGAGCCATTTGTACAATTTTGTAATACCAGTATTCACAAGTTTAAATACCGTTTTTCGGTATTTACTAGAAATTTAGAATTCTTATCTGGGAATTCTTATTCAGAATTCTTATCTGGGAATTTTTATTCAGAATTCTTATCTGAAATCTAGAAATTGTCTATGAAAACAAGGATGTAGTTGTGAAAAAGTGTGTAATAGTTCGATATTTTTCGATAGTTTGTTATTCACATTGTATTTACATATCATATTTTACAATTCAAAATATTTTTCAGATTTATTATATATATATATATATATATATACTCATAAATGATACCCCATAATAATGAATATGAATAACTTTAAAGAACATAAAAAATAAGTTGATAATACTTCGGTTTGGTTTCATTATTTATATGATGAAAAGAATATGGTGGCACAATGTAAAAAATGTTCAAGAGTTATTAAAGTGAATGCAGGAGTACCACAGACTGAATAGTGATATTTACACTCTTTTGTGATTTAAATAAATAAGATGTTCCTTTACTTTTTTTTTTGTGATTCTTTATATACTGTTGTAATTTATAAGTGTGATATTAACATTCTCTAATAAAACTGGCAAATAAAACAAAAAAAAAAAAAACTTGCGTTTTCTTTCTTTTTCTAAAAGTTTCTACTACCGGTATTAAAACCGGTATCCCGGTATTAAGATCTAAAAAATACCTAATACCGGTATCGAACTTTTGGTCCGATATTGCAATCCCTACCTACCACGCATTAGTGAACGAAAATTTCTAGGCATGAATAATAAAAAAAAAAAAAAAAAGTCTGACTCGTATCTTAGTGGTAACGTGTTTAGTTAGCATTTAGTAAAACTTAGATTCGAAACTGTTGATGGTGTCCGATACAGTCACTGATTTAAGAAAGTGATGCATGACTGCTACTACTACACCACACCACACCACATCACGATGGCTAGAGCTAAGTTGCCCCTTTACAGTTTGGGACTGATGTGGGTGAGAAGTGTGATTTCTGTGACTTTCTACTGTCATATGAGACAGTGACCTAAAACTTGGAGTGGATTCCGAACCACTACAAATATCCATGGCACCGCCGGGATTCGAACCCGGAACCTGTGTTAGCGAGCGTCAGAGCGCTAGTCAATCGGCCATCAGGTACCATGGATTCAAAATGGTGGTGATACAACTTCACCCACATCATTCTCACAAACTCTAAAAGAACATGAGCGAGAATGATGATCAGTGACGAAAGTCACAGTAATGTGATATAGTGTAGTGGTTGTGGCATAAACCTTGGATATAATTTTAGATGTCCTTTTATGTAATAAAATGTTACATCAGTGTTTTTGTGAATGATATTAACATTAATGATAGGGATG